CGCCTTGGTTCGATCATAATTACAATTTTTGAATTCGGAAGAGCCTTCCTGTCTTTCAGTTGTTGCAACGCGGCTACCGCATCACATTCTCTCACAAATATTCCAATACCTCCAACTGTCTGATCTCCGTAGCTGCACAATTGTTTGCCGGCATTGGTATAATGTGCTCAATTATGAGGTGCGATCTGATAGAATCTACCTTTTAGTGGTTTCTCGTTAAAATCTCTCTAGGACAGCGCTGTTTGGCGAGCATTAGCTCAGAAGAAAGTGTCAGAATCAGCCTTAGCCGATCCTTATTTGTTGAGTGAGCTCAATACCTACAAGAAAAAGCTGCGAGCATTCTATTATGCTTGGAATCCGAATGATGTGTCGAAGTATGTTCAAATTTTTCTCATGCCTTCACTATCTGAACTTGTTGTAGAAACAATTATGTTCGCGCCAATGGTTTCACTGTTCATCGACAGCCAGTGGCGCAAAGCACTGATGGAGTTCGAGGAAAGGTAGTAATTCTCCACAGTTCAATTCGGTATAATTGATTTGAACATCACCAAATTTTTTGCAGATTGGTGTCTCACAGGGTGTGCATGCCTTTGACATCACCTGGGAGGGTCCTCTTGGAACGGTGGCAGTCGTGGGAGTTGCAACAAGGTACGTTCCCACCAAATTTCGTTTTATGCAAGTTACTTTGAGTTGTTTCCCTTAGACACGCAGCTCTTCACTGTCCTGGCTACTTGCCTTTGCTGGGTAGTGATGACCAAAGTTGGGGATGGAATCTTGTTGATAACACGTTGATCCATAATGGCGAGCAGCTCGGTGTATATCCACGAGTGAATAACCCACCAAAGTACCAAGTAAGTTCAGTCACACTCCACAAAATGGCTATTTATTAATCACTTTCTATGGCTTGTTATAGATTTTATATAGTGCTTTCTCATACATGGATTATAATTTAGGTTGGAGAACGAGTACGGTTAGTTCTGGATTGTGATCGGCACATTGTCTACTTTGAACGCGCTGGTAGCGAATTCTTGGGCCTTGCCTTTACGGATTTGCCACCAGTCAAGCTTTTTCCAGCTATCTGTGCGGTGTATGGAAATACGGAAGTTTCAATGGTTTACTTAGGACCACCTGTGGTCGGATAATCTCTCATGTTTTTCGTGGTTCTTGCATCCAAGCTCAGTGCTCGGCGCGGCCAGGTTATTGTCATTTCAAAGCCGCTGACGAGAAAACAAGAACGGTTCAGTCATCATCTGCTTGTCTTCTTGTACTCATTTGAAAGAGCTGGTATTGTACCTCTGAAAGGGCTTGGTTTTGATTATTCAATTCGTTACCTGCGCCGAGCCTCCTGGGCGCTGCGTATTAGAGTGAAGTGTCTCACAGAATGATTCGAAATTACTTATTATTTCGCGCTTTCTTTGCGCTGGCTCTAGTTCTTCAATCTCACGCTAGTCGTTCTGTTTTATTTTGTTCTACTTATATTCGCTTCAAAATTCTACT